GGGGGAGGTCTCCCCAGAGCAGTGGTGGAAGGGGCAGTGGGGGAGGTCTCCCCAGAGCAGGGGTGGGGGAGGTCCCCCCATAGCAGTGGTGGAGGGAACAGTGGGGGAGATCTCCCCAGGGCAGAAGTGGAGGCAGGGGCGGCTCCAGGCACCAGCGCAGCAAGCGCATGCCTGGGGCGGCAAGCCGCGGGGAGTGACGTGCCAGTTGCCGTGAGGGCGGCAGTCAGACAGCCTTCGGCGGCATGTCTGTGGAAGGTCCGCCGGTCCCGTGGCTTCCATGGCAATTCGGCGGCGGGTAGGGTGACCAGACAGCAAGAGTGAAAAATCGGGACAGGGAGTGGGGGGTAATAGGAGGCTATATAAGAAAAAGACCCAAAAATCGGGACTGTCCCTATAAAATCGGGACATCTGGTCACCCTAGCGGCGGGTATGCCGAAGCCGTGGGACTGGCAGATCACCCGCAGAAACGCCACCGAATCCGCGTGACCAGCGGAGGCCACCTGACTGCCGTGCTTGGGGCGGCAAAAAACATAGAGTCGTCCCTGGGTGGAGGGGTAGGTTGGGGGAGGTCTCCCTAGAGCTGGGGTGTGGGGTAGGGTGGGGGAGGTCCCCCCAGAGCAGTGGTGAAGAGGACAGTGGGGGAGGTCCCCCCAGAGCAGTGGTGGAGAGGACAGTGGGGGAGGGCTCCCCAGAGCAGTGGGGGAGGGGACAGTGGGGGAGAGCTCCCCAGAGCAGGGGTGGGGGAGGGCTCCCCAGAGGCAGACTGGCTGGCTGAGGTGTTGAGGGGTTAGTTGTGGATGCTCCTGTAACTGTGGTGCTATGGGGACCCAGCAGTACTTTCGGGGAAAATCTCTCCCTGATGCCGCGCCCTGGTGCACTCGGGGCCCGATCCAGCCAAGCACTTCAGCACATAAGTGGCCCCGTGGAAGTCAACATACAGATCTCCATGCACACACATGTGCAGGCACACGCACACTCACAGGTACACACGCATTGACATGTACACACACAAATGGGCACAGACACACAAGCACACGCACATGCAAATGTACAAATGCACACACACGGACACACATGCGCATATGAAAATGAACACACACCCCCACACAAATGCATGCCCATGCTCACACACATGACTGTAGACAAATGCACACACATACAAATGGCTATGCACGCCACACACACATATACATATGGACATACACAACGGCACACTTACATTTCACCACCATGTCCCCGGGCCCGCTGTCAGACACGATGGCGGTAGAAACACCAGCCTCTTGTCTATACTAGTGCTCTGCTGCGCACAAGAGGAGGTGCACCAGGGCTAGTGCAACAGTGGGAAACAGACACAGAAACCAGCGTTCACCTCCCTCAAAAGCGGTTTTAGCTGTGGGTTGACAACAGCCCCAGCTTCTCCCAGCAGGGGGTGCTCTGGAGAATGGGGCAGGAGCGCTGGCAGTGGGGGGAGCTGCCGGCTACTCCAGTCCTGGCCTCTCCCAGCAGGGGGCGCTGTGGGGAGTGGGGCAGGAGCTCTGACTATAAGGGGAGGTCCCGGCTACTCCAGTCCCGACCTCTCCCAGCAGGCGGCGCTGTTACACCAGGGTTGAGTTTGCCCTAGCATTGCAATGTGGGTTCGGGACCCAGGGCAGCAGCGCTCCGTCAGGACAGGGGACGACTCAGCAAGGGCTCTCGAGTCCCATTCCTCGGGGCTCCTTTGGGCTCGGTCCGGCCGGCGTCTCGTGAGCCAAGGAGTTAACACCGGGGCCGTCTGGCGTGGCCGCGGTGTTGGCGGTAATTGCCGTCCCTGCAGACGGGAGCCCGTCTCCCTACAAAGCCCCATTGTGCGCTTATGGGCCGCACAGAAGCCCTTTTGTTCCATGGGGGCTGGGAGCTTCGCTGGTGATGATTTCCCTAACAACAACTCGGGGGCTTTGTGATTATTACTGTGGTCCTGGGGAGGGTGGGGGGCGTTTCCCTCCCTTCGCCCGCCCCACCACCACGCCCGCTTGGCCTCTCGCTGACCTCTGGAGCCGGCTCCACTCCACCTGAAGTTCACCAGCAGGGAGAGCTTGGCATGGGGGAGACCCAGCGATGCCACATTAAGACCCTGGCACAAGGGAGGCGAAAGGGCCTCTGCCCTTGAGATGCGCCTTGCCTCGTTTTCTGGGTCCGTGAGCTGTGCACTCCGCTGGGCCTGAGGTGTCCGGCTTGTCCCATCCGGGTTTGACACCCATCTCGTGTCAGGGGCCCATTGTGCCAGGTGCTGCACGGACACAGAGCGAGAGACAGTCCCTGCCCCAAAAAGCTCACAGTCTGAATAGACAAGGGGTGGGAGGGGAAACTGAGCCACAAAGAGGCGGTTTGGCACCCACCTCGTGTATGAGATAGCGTGGGACAGCAGGGCCTGGAGTGGAATACAGAGTGCTCTAGCATGTGGCAAGTTCTATGGTGTACAGAGCAGCCCCACAAGCTAGGGGGCAGTGTGGGCTAGTGGGTAGAGTACTGGCTGGCTCTGGACACGCAGGTTGTATTCCTGGCTCTGCTACTGATCTGCTTGGTGACCTTGGGCAAGTCACGTCCCCTCCTCATGACTCAGTTTCCCCTCCCCACTCCTTGTCTATTCAGACTGCGAGTTCTTTAGGGTGGGGACTGTCTCACTCTGTGTCTGTGCAGCACCTGGCACAATGGGGCCCTGAGCTTGGCTGGGGGCTCCAGGGGTTACTAAAGTCAGAAGACGACTAGCTGAGGGCGTTGGGGACCCCAGAATCCCAATATCTGTACACCCCTAGCAGCTCTGACCTAGCTCCAAAGGTCTTGCTGGGTTTGCTTTGAGCCCATGCAAATCTCAGCTCCCTGGGGATGTAGGAGCCCAGCCCCATTAGGGGCTGGTGTTACCCCCAGCACGTACCCTTCCGCCCGACTCAGACCCAGCTGCCGGGCAGCAGGGCATCTGACGATTTAGGTACCATGTGGTGCCTAATCAGGCCTGCAGCCGCCTCCAGCAGGGCTCCACAGGAGCTGGTAAGTATCTCCCATCATTTCACTTCTTCTTTAGGCTCTTAACCTGCACTGTTTGGGGTTTCGTCGGCTTGGGCTTGGCCGCCTTGGGCTTCACCGCTTTGGCTTTAGCCGAGTTCTTGGCTGCCTGGTGCCAGGCAGACACCCCAGCTTCCTGCACTACCAGGGAACCGCTCAGCAAATTCAGAGCGGTTAGCATCTCATGGGTGGCCAGGTCTCTCGCTGTCCTCCGCCTCCTCCCTCTTTCTCACTCCCTTTTGCTCTCATTCCATCCTTAGACGTTTTTAAGGTCAGGCTTGACAAAGCCCTGGCTGGGATGATTTAGTTGGGGATTGGTCCTGCTTTGAGCAGGGGGTTGGACTAGATGACCTCCTGAGGTCCCTTCCAACCCTAATCTTCTATGATTCTATAGTCTCCCCATTCCTTACTTTCCTTCTTGGAGAGGAGGAAAATATTCTATTTGCTTTGTTTATTTACCCACCTGGTGCCCTGTGGTGCTGGGAGGGGGGGTCCTGCCTGGATGTCTTTCTGGAAGATGCTTAGTCAGAGACACGTTAATGGCTCAGTACAGGAGGAAGTGAGAGAAATTCTCTGGCTGGTGTTAGGAGATCAGACTAGAGGACCTAATGAATCCTTCTGCCCTTGAAATCGATGAGTCAATGAATGATCTCAGGTGTATCAAGCCGGGAAGGAACGCGTCTTGTGCTATTGGCGACAGTGGTCGGAGACGTAATCTTGTTTCTCATTTGCAGCCTGTGCTACGGGGCCGTTAGGTAGCACACAGACCGTGCTGAAATATTGCTAGCCTGCAAAGGAGGGGACGGGCAGCCTGGGGGATCTATCTTGGTGCCTACGTGGACCTTGTCACTGTAGTATCTGAGCGTCTCATGCATTTCACAGCCCTTTGTGAAGGAGGAAAGTGTTAGCCCCATGTTAGAGAAAGGGAAAACAGTGGCAGCATGGTCTACTGGATACTGTACTGCACTGCACTGCACTGGGACTCAGGAGACCTGGGCTCTATTCTTACTTCTGCCAATGGCCTGCTGGGTGAGCTTGCAAGTCACGGCCATCCCCCTGCCTCAGTTTCCCCATCTGTAAAATGGCACCGGCACTAAGAACTTTGGGATCTAAAGGTGCCGAGCGCTGGATGAGAGCTAGGCACTATCATGAAGTGATGCGCCCAGGATCAGTGGCAGAGCTGGGAATGGAGGCCAGGTCCGCCGAGTCCCGCTCGGCTGCCCTGGAGCGAAACCTCTCAGCAGGGCAGCATCTTTAGTCAAACTAAAAAATGTTCACAAACAGCCCTTATGTTGACAGTGAAAAATGTGTCAGTGACGCCGCTGTGTGTTCGAGAGGCAGAGGACACGTTACCTTTAAGGGCAGGGGAATAGGAGAGGGAGGTTTTCTTCGCTTTCTGTTGCATTTTGCAGCTCAGTGGAACTCGAAAGCGCGTCTCTCTCATGGGCAGAAATCGGTCCAATAAAAGAGATTATCTCACCCACCTTCTCTCTCTTGGATTGCAGGGAGATTTTCAATGCCTGGTGACCCATCCCACACACGCGTCCCACTCCCTCCCAGTTTCGTGAGATACACCACACTAGCGCACCCTCCCTAGCCTCAAAGATATGGATAAGGCACTGGAGTGGGAGTCAGGAGAAATCTACTACAGACTCCCTGTGTGCCCATGAGAGTTAGGTGCTTACATGCCTTTGAGCATCTGGGCCTCAGATCCCCATCTGTTCAATTGGAATGACTTCCTTTCTTCCCCCACCCTCCTTTTTGTCTGCCGTGTCTCCACGACCGAGTCTGTCCCTCCCAATATGTTTGTACAGCTCCCCACACAAAGGGGCCCTCCTGATTATTGGCTAATGAATCCTAGAAGCTCATTTCGGACACGGTCTTCTCTAGCTCGCTCTTCCCCGCCCGCCAGAGACGCTGGATCTTTTAACAAAGTCACGTTCGCACGGGTCCAACGTAGCTCATCTTTTATTACTTAAATTAAAACCAACAAAACCAAAATCCAAACAATTCAATTCCGAATCAGATGGCGGTGAGGAGCGTTGCGGGAGGTGAGGGGTGACGTTTAAAAACACCATCTTGTTCCCTCTGATGCCGGTGGCGTCGACATCTGCTTATGTGATGGCCTCCACCTTGCGTGGAGGCACCAGGGATAGAACCGGGGACCGAAAAGCATCAGCCTCCTTAGCTGGGGCTGTAACGAACTCTGTGGAGTGGGCACAGCTGGGCATCTGTGATATACCCTCCCCAGTCGGTTACACTTACAGCAAAGCTGATTTTTGCCCCATATATTTTTTGCTTGGGGGCAGGCGTGGGGGCAGTGTGTTAAAAGTTGAAGGGGGTTGAAATCAGGGAAGCTACCGCAACTGACACCAGCTAAGTCTTTGGTCCACCATGTTACCCTACATGGAGAGAATTAATAGATGCTTGGAGTGTTCAGTTGAATGCTTCTGCCAGCTACCTGCTGCCCTCCCCCCCTGTGTGTGTGTGTGTGTCTGCACGCGCGCACGCACAAGCGCGTAAGTGTGAGTCTGAGCAAGTGTGCGTACGTGGGCGTGGTGAGTGTCACTTGGCTGAAAAGGGGCACATCGTTTTCATACCCCGATGGCCGGTTCCCTCTGGCTCCCATGTTTCCTGGGGGGATAGGAAGAGAGACGCACGTCTCACTCCGCTCCCCAATTAACAGTCACACATATGGAGCCCTCCCCACTACCTGCGAGCCCCAATCCCTGTTGAGAGCCCCCCAGGCTTTTGACAGAGAACCCCCTTCAAATGAAGCGACGCTCGTTAATTAAACGCCTCCTCCATTAGCACACAGAGACGACCCCACCATTAACAGAGGCGCCCTTCCTTTAGGGAGACCTGCAAGGGGGAAAAATGGGCTCCTGCCCCTTTATGATGGATGAGGCCAGAAAAGCTTTAAAAAAAAGAAGAAATGTTTTCTGCTTGTTTTTTACATTTTAAAAAAAAATCATCAGCATCATCATTACTATTACTGGTATGAGGTAGCACCCATAGGCTCCAGGCAGAACTGCAGCCCCATTGTGCAGGGCGCTGCCCAGCTACAAACCAAAAGCGAATCCCTGTCCTAATGAGTTTACAGTCTGGAGTTGTCAGGTGAGGCAGTGGGAGCAAACACCCTAACTAGTTTTAAGATGGTGCTTAATACGTGTATGAAGGGGATTATCTGCCAGGGTTGCCTGTGAAAATAGGGGACTGGACTTGATGACCTGGGAGGTCCGTTTCAGTCCTACATCCCTAATTCAGGTCCTGTCTGGGCTGGAAGACTCTATGGTGACCAGAGATCTAGTGAAACAGTGACATCACAAGAGCTGAGCAATGAAACAGGTAGGGATTTTTTTAGACAGACTGTTAAAACTCTTGTCTTTGTCAGCACCTGTTTGACTCTGATGCCTAACTAACATTCTGGAGAAAGGAATCCATTGTTAATAAACCACCCCTTTAAGTTATTCCTGCTCACAGTACACATCCCTGAGACCTCCCAAAGGTCACCTAGCAAAAAAATAACACCACGGAAGATCAGACATTATGACTGAAATTTACAAAAGAGCTCAATTCTTATTTAGGCACCTAAATATATGGGGCAGGTTGGTTGCTGAGGACTTCACTTATGTGCCTATCCCTGTATGGGTGCGGAGCTCTTTTGTCAATCTGGCCCGGATTGAGCGTGCTGAAGAACTGGAAATCTGTCCCTGAGCTATTTTTAAAATTCCTGATATTAATAAGGTAAAAAACTAAGGAGAATTTTTTTAAAAAGGTGTTTAAGTGGGGGGGGGGGAATGTTCAGGGTTGTTGTTTTTTCCCTCCATCATAAAGAAGCAAAAACCAAAAAGGGCCCAAAGCTAAATGCAGGTCAACTTTATCACAGAGGCCCTGTCAAGAGAGACGACCAATTAATAGGGAGCCCCTCGTTAAAAGACAACTCCTCCTGTGTTTTAAACACAACGGTCTCTTGAAACCCCCCCACCCCGCTCCCTTAACTCATCATCATAACTTAAGACATAAATATAATTCTTACATTTCTAGATTAAATACACGGGGGGAAGGGGGGAGGGGAAGGTGGAAGCTCCTCTTGATATCTCCGCATAGTGACTGGTGGCCCTCCTTTGTAAAGTGGGTGGAGGACGACATGGGTTATTTGTATCCTCCCCTGCCCCCTCTGACCTGAGGGCAAAGGTTCTGATGCACCATTCAGGGCCCGATCCTGGTAGGGGCTGAGTTCCAGGGCCCCAATCCATCTATGCACCCGCTGAACACCAAACTCACGAGTAGTCCCATTGTCTTTGCAGGATCAGGTTCCCAGTGCCCAGGATCAAGCCCTCACTGGGCGATGATTCCTCCCACACACACCTTGGTCAACCTTGAGTAACTCCTTAGGAAGACGGTGCCAGTGGCTTTGCGAGCGATCCCGGCCAGGTAGGACAAAAGGCTCAGTAGGCCTATTCACGGCAAAGAAAACAACACGACCTAGGGACTGGGTTCAAATCCCAGCCCCTGCTCCATGTGACTTTGCATCAAGGTCATTTAACTCTCCCATGCCTGGGTGGAGCAGAAAGCAAGGGTCCCAAGAGAATCCCGTCCAAGAACCCAATAGGTGTCTGCATCTGAGCCGCCACTTCCCCCAGGAAATAAATTATCTCAGCGAGAAGGGGAACTAAACAGGAGGAGGAGGCTGGAGGAGAAGCTCCACCCCTAGCTTAGATCTCCAGCAAGCTGCTTTGCTCAGGGCTGGTGGTGTCTTTGTCGTCGTTGGCAAGCCCGTCCTGCAAGGCCGCGCCTGGAGAGCCACTGCCAGTGGCCGTCTCCTCCCTCTCGGCTTCGCCCTCGGCGGGCTTGGCCGCCCCCATCTCGGTGTGGGTCTTCTGGTGCTTGCTGAGGTGGTCGCTGCGGGTGAACCTCTTGTTGCAGAGCAGGCAGGTGAACTTCTTCTCCCGGGTGTGGGTGCGGACGTGACGCTCCAGCTCGTCTGAGCGGGTGAAGCGCTTGCCACAGAAGAGCCAGTTGCAGACAAAGGGGCGCTCGCCCGTGTGCCACCGCAGGTGGGCCTTGAGGTGGGAGGCCTTGCCGTAGACCTTCCCGCAGCCTGGGATGTGGCAGCTGTGGATGGGCTTCTTCCGCAGGCTGGCGGCTGAGGCCCCGAGTCGCTCCAGCTCCTGGCAGTTGGGGCAATCGCACGTCGAGCGGCCGGTGGTGCTGCTGAAGGTGCCGCCACGCGGGGCCTTCAGTCCGATCCCGCCTTCCATCAGAGAGTTGTTGGCCACAGGCTTGGGCTTGTACATCTCCTGGGACAGCATGTGTTGGCCGGAAGGGAGGAGATGAGAGGAGGAGGTGATGCCCACGGCCGGGTATGGGGCAGGGTTCAAGGTGGTGAAGTCGGAGCTGTAGCTTGGCAGCTGAGGGCTCAGGGATGTCTGGGCCGGCACAGGCTGAAGGGAGCCCTGGAGGCCGTCCGACTGGGGCTGGGCACTCAGCCAGTTGGTATTGGAGTGCACATCCCACCAGGAGGCTGTGGCATTGCTGGAGCTACTGGAGATCCCAGGATGGATCCCGGCTTTGTACCAGGAGCCGTAAGGGTGCGCCATATCCAAGGAGGTGTAGACACTGGGAAGGCACTCGGCCGAGGGATGGCCCTTGGACACCAGGAGGGATGAGGGGTCCTGAGAGCCGGAGGAAGCTGGAAAGGAGTGAGAGAAGGGGCTGTAGTCGTTGCCGTAGGTGGTGGAGGCTTGCGGGCTGGCCGAGGGGGACATCAGCCCGTTCCCACTGGGGAAGGCGGCCGTGTAGGAATCTCCCATGGCCTCGGAGCTGCGGAGCTTGGGGCTGGACTGCTCGGCTCCCAGCTGGTACAGCTTCTTCCCCAAAGGGTTCCCCGCTTTCCCAGGTGTGGCCGAATCCCGGATTGGACTGGAGCCTCCAAATTTATTGCAGGTGGCCGTTAGCATAGCCAGGGGGCTGGAGCCATAGCGAGCTTCTTCCTGCAGGAAGGGAGAAAGGAGGGCAAGGCGTCAGCAAAGGGAGACAGGACCGGCTGATCATGTGCGTTGGCATGGGCTCAGTGAGGCCTTCAGCAGCTGGGTTTGTACAGGGCCAAGCTGATTCAGGGGCACCCTAAGAGCAGGGGGCCAGGACATGGGGCAACACAAATGCAGCACGATAGAGATAAGCTCCCACTGGGAACAATGGAGAGTCTCCCCCTCCCCATTGAGAACAATAGAGAATCACCCCGCATCCCCAAGATCTGCATTCACCTGAACCACTGCGGTGCCACGTGGGAGTTGTAGTTCAGTGCCTCCTGCCTCCATTCTCTGTTATGGACTGCGCTCCACAGAGACACTACATCTCCCATGATGCCTTGAGGTCATGGGATTCCCATGATGCACCAAGGCCAGCCAGAGGGGAGACTGTGGTGCATCATGGGAGATGTAGTTCAGCCAGCAAGCCTCGCCCAAGCGGGAGAAAAAGGGCATGAGGCACCCAGAAGGCACTGCAGTGGTTCGGGCAGATGCAGATTAATGTCAAACTGACCCCAAACTAAACATTTTCTTTTGATTTTTCCAACAGCTTAAAAAAAAAATTGGCTAAGTCAACATTTTCCCACACAAAATTTCCATTTTGCAGAAACCACATTTTCCGTCAAAGATACATTTCAATGGAAAATTCCCAACCGGCTTCATTGTTTCATAGTAATTGCATTCTCCCCCCTTCCCCAAAGTGGTGCCTTGTGGGAGTTGTAATTCGGGTATCTGACGCCCCCATTCTCCCCGCTATGGACTGAGCTCCTCAGCTGAACTAACTTCCCATGCCGCACAGCAGTCCTGGGATTCCCATGATGCACCCTAGGAGCTCACAAAGTCAATTGGGGTTTTCAATGGGAATTTAGTTGAGCACTCAATTCCCACTGAATTTCAACGGGATTTGGGCAGTTACAGTGTTACCAACTCTTATGATTTTAATCACAAATCGCAAGATATTTGCTGTTTATCCTAAAGCCCCAGCTCCTGGAGTCATGTGATTAGGTAGGAATCTCAGATACATCTAAATCCCTTACCCTCCTCTGAAAATCCCAACCTTAGAAAATATATAGTGTGACTCATAGATTCATACATTTTAAGGCCAACATGTGTCATTAGATCATCTCTAACCTCCTGTATGTCACAGGCCAGAGAATTTCACCCATTCACCTTCGTATTGAGCACAATAACTTGCATTTGACTAAAGCACAATCCAACAGAAGCGGAGAAAAAATGAAGGGGTAGAAACCAAGGAGAGTCTGTGATGAGGACAGACACAAGGAGACTTCTCCAAGCAGCAGGAGCAAAACATTCTCACACCAATGGCATAAGGAGAATGTGGGACAGGAGGCAAACGCTAACTGAGCAGAGGGACTGAGAACTAGAGCCAGGCAGGTTTTCCCATATCATGAGAGTTTCTGAGATTTCCAAATGTTTTCCCATTCTGAATCAGGATGAAAAGTTGAAATCTCAAATATTTTTGCAAAACAATAACCTGAAAAAATTTCAGATCAGGTCAACTGAAACATTTCATTTTGGTAAGTTCGAAACATTGCAGGTTGATTTTGACCTTTTATTAACCTTTTACTTTTTTTAAAGTATAAATGCACCAAAATTCTGAAATGAAAAGTTGTTTCGAACTGAAAAACAAAACTTTTCTTTTCAAAAATGTCAACACTTCTTTTTTCAATTTTTTTTATTTGAAAGATTTGTCATAATCAATCCTTTCCCATGAGCAGATTTAGTTTTGACAAATCAGCATTTTCTGATGAAAAAATGTTCCCAATCAGCGCTAGTGAAAACAGAAGAAGTGAGATGTGGACAGGGCTCGGATTGGGGTAGTACGTGGCAATACAGCATACTCGTAGCTATCCCAAATTGCCTTCCTGCTCGCAAGAATCTCACGTTTTCAGCACAGTTACCATGTGTAACTGACACAGCGACGTCTGCCTGAATCTGCAGAGAGCCTGAAACAATAGCTGGGTGAGGTGTGAACTCTCTGAATAATAGTTCTGAGAGGTGTGGGACAAGCCTATCATGGGGGTGGAACTTGGAAGACGCCCACCAATTTTTCTCTTATTTTCATGTAGCCACTGGATGTGGGGTCACATATTCAAGGGCTCACCAGAGGTGTGAATCTAAGTGACTCCACAATCAGGACCAGATTTCCCATAGAGCTCAGCCCTCAATTTGCACCTGAGCGGCTGAGACCTTTGGTGCCTAAATGGGAGCTGAGATGTCTTGGAAATCTGGTCTAGAGAGTGTGGCAGGATGAGTAGGGGTTAATTGGGAACTGGAGCCTAACTGAATGGGGCAGATCTGCTTGTCAGTTTCTTCAGATCTGGGTCTCACTGAGTAGCTTGACTAATTGGCATCACCGCGCCTCGCATCCAGCCCCTGTTTTCGCTCTGGGTGGCGCGGTCCTATTGATCTTAAAAAATTGCTTCTCGCAGAGAGGGGCTCGGCCAAAGGAGCTGATCTGAGCAGCAGCACAAGAGGCTGTGGTTCTGCCCCCAGTTTGGAACGCAGCCCCTCTGCTGTTCCAGCCCTGGATTACCCTCCCTGTGCACAGCTCTGCTGATGCCTTCCGATCCCCATGGTCTGCTATGGGGCCTTCTGCACACATGCTCTTTAGTCCTGGCTTTCTTCTCCCCACTGCTCTTCCAAACCTGGGACCACCCTAGACCCACCGCTCTGCTGGTACACCTCACTGCTTAGTCCAGCCCTGATCCTGAGATAGCTCAGAAGTTAGTAAACAAACCAGAGCTGTCGTTTCACTCCTGTGTCCTTACTCAGCCAATCTCATGCCTCTGTCCAAGCCACATTTCAGCCATTAGTAAGTTCTACGAATTGACGTTATCCTTGTAAATGAATAACATTCTAGCCAACGTATGTTGAGTTTCTATCGTGTCTTTGACTCCCAAAAGATTCCAAATCACTTGACCCACTTTACTGCTGCCTAACTACTGTGTATACCTATGGCTGACTTTACCCCCACCCCCATTAAAATGCAGCCACCTCTGGGGTGGGATGTGCCAGCTGTTTACCTACGGGAAGAAACACTCGCAATGATTTGGGGCAGGAAGTGAAAAATACTGTGTCCATTTGAAACTGCAGGCGGAAGTTAGGGCAGGAGCTAGCAAAGCAGCGATCACAACAGCTGTCGCTATGTAAATGATAAATTAAATAGAATTATTATTAATATTGACCTGAGGATCCGACCCCAAAATTGGAATCTGGGCAGGACATTAGAGTAACACCTCAGACTTACAGAAAGCGATGTGCTCTGACCACGCAAAGAGTTAATTTTAAGCCCTCAGTAGGGTTATTCCCATGCCTGGAGTTCGAAAAGTTCTTAAGTCTTGTCAGAATCAGTCTTCATGGCCACCTGCAGTCAGGATCGCTCTCGGATGGCTCATGTGTAATCTGAATCAGAAGGGATGTGTGGTTTGGTTTACATATTACTCATGGAAGGGTCACTAACACTCATGAGTAGACCATGCACCATTGTGGAATGTTCAATTGAACATTGGCCTGCTAAACCCAGGGTTGTGAGTTCAATCCTTGAGGGGGCCATTTAGGGATTTGGGGCAAAAATCTGTCTGGGGGTTGTCCTGCTTTGAGCAGGAGGTTGGACTAGATGACCTCCTGAGGTCCCTTCCAACCCTGATATTCTGTGTGTGACTTTTTTGGGAAAAGGACTGTTTTCACATTTATAAAACCATGTGTCTTATAGCTTGCCTTGGAAGCTCTTTGGGAGAGGGACTTTTTGTCTGGTGTTTGTACAGCTCCGAGCACAAGGGGGTCCTGGTCCGTGGCTGGCGTTCCCAGATGCTATGATATAACTAGGGTGACCAGATGTCCCGATTTTGGGGTCTTTTTCTTATATAGGCTCCTATTAGCCCCCACCCCCTGTCCCAATTTTTCACACTTGCTGTCTGGTCACCCTAAATATAACAAATAATAAATAATAACAGGTGGCAACGTGTTTTGCATGGGGGATGGGGCTGTAAGAGAAGATGGGTTCTTTATTTTTATTTTTTTACTGGAAAAATTAATGCACCTGACCAAAATTTGCCATGGAAACGGTCCCCATTCTGGAGTTCAGAACGAAATGTGAAAAGACTTGAAATTCAAGAAGCATTGCATTTTTGTTGCAGATATTTCGCAAACCACTGCTTATAGCACTGTGGACAGAGGTGAAATCCAAATCTACTGCAACTGCAAGGGAAATTACCTTTCCCATGACATATGGTAACATACAGTCCCACCTGCCACCCCTCATGGTCTGGGAGGATTTCATTGCCAGTTGCATGTATGACTCCAAAAGAGTGGTCTGCTCTGAAACTCTTTGGTTTCTCTGCCCTGTCCCTTTATGTTTCTACCAGAGTTGGCTGGAAAATGGAGGGTTTCATGGAAAATTTCAACATTGTGGGTGAAAAATAAAAATTCAAAAGTTTTCATCCAAAACCCAAAAATTTCTATTCAGAAATGTTGCCGTGGTGCCTCACGGGAGTTGTAGTTTCGATGCCTTCTACCCTCTGGACTGGGCTCCCTGGCTGGACTACATCTCCCATGATACACCATGTTCTCCCTCTTGCTGAGCTGCCACAATGCATCATGGGTGCGGCATAGCCATGGTGTAACATGGGAGATGTAGTCTTGCTGGTGACGGCATGAGGCACCCAAACTACAACTCCCATAAGGCACCATTACATCGCTTCCAAATATAAATTTTGGGGGTTGGGGTTTTTTTTAACGAACGGTTGAAAATCTCTGCAGAAAGCAGACATGTTTAGTGAAAATGTTTGTTTAATCAAAACCCCAATTTTCTACCTTAAAACAGTTTCAATAGGACATTTTTGACCAGCCCTAATTTCTACCTTTCTTGTCATTAACAGAACCTAACGAGAAAAAATTAAATAGTCTGAGGAGAGAATTCTGCCTGCTTGTTCAGCCATTTTGT